TTTTTGTGCATGAAAGTGGGCATACAGGTGCAGCATATAATAATTAAGGCAAATGGAATCCTGGCATTTGTTGCAAAAGGACTGGTTATAAAAGTAAAGAAGTGTTGTTACAATTATGTAAGATGTTGATGAGACCACATCTGGAATATTGTATCTAGTTTTGGTCTCCTTACTTGAGGAAGGATGTGGTGGCACTGGAGGAAGTTCAGAGGAGGTTCACCAGATTGATTCCAGGGATGAAAGGGCTGTGTTACAAGGAGCAGTTGAATGGATCAGGCTTGTACTCGCTGGAATTCAGAATAATAAGGGGGGGATCTGATTGAGGTATATAAAATGCTAAAAGGGGATTGATAACGTGAACATGGAACAGATGTTTCCCCTTATTGGACAGTCTTGAAAACACGTCATTAATACAGAGTGAGGAGGAGGCAGGTTCAAACTGAGGAGAAACTTGTGAATCTGTGGAACTTACTGCTCCAGAGTGCAGTGGAGGCAGAAACAATCAACAATTCAAGAAAGAAATAGATATGTTTCTGATGAAAAGCTGAATAAAGGGGTATGGGGAGCAGGCAGGAAAGTGGAGTTTAGATGAAATCAGCTATGATGATGTTAAATGGTGGAGTGGTCTCGAAGGGCTGAATTTCTTGCTCCCAGTCACAATTCCTGGTGTCCAGGAGAGTGCACACTCTGGAAGGTCCACCAATAGCTGCTTTGGAACAATTAAAATACTTAGCAATATTCAAATCAGAACCAATCAAAATAAACATCTGGTTAAATGGTCACGCAGCTCTAATTGAGGTCAATACAGGTGCGGTGTATCACTGATTGCGGAACCAGTCTTTACCAAAATTTGTGCTGGACTCAAACCCTTAAGTTTGCGTCAGACCTCAGCCAGCTGAGAACTTGTACCGGGGAGCCCCGACAGATTAAGAGTACAACTTCAGTTCTGGTCTCTTTTGAGAAGCAGCTGGTTCAGTTACCAGTGATTGTAGTAAAACGCTCAGGCCCAAGTTTGATGGGGTGAAATTGGTTAACAAAGATTCAACTTGATTGGCTCTATAGTTTTCAATTATAAAATGGTTGACTGAGTGAAGTCCTAATTAAACATCTGGAGGTTTTTGAGGAAGGTCTAGGGACTATCAAAGGAGCCAAGGCCACCTTACATATTGACCAGGAAGCAATTCCACGATTCTGCAAGGCCCTCCCAGTGCCATTTGCCTTCCATGCAAAGGTAGAGGCAGAAATCAGGAAGTTTGAAAGCAACAAAATCCGAGGCAGAGTCAATGGAACCAGACCTGGTGCGGAAACCAGGAGAAGCTCTAAGAAAAAGAACAGGTCCACGTCCCAGGATGTCGGGGGTGGGGGGATGTAGTGATTGCAATGAGGTCAGCCAGATGGACCTCATAGAATATGAGTTTCCTGACTGGGGCTGTAAACCTGGTTCAATCAGGGAGGCCTGGCTGACAGATATAAACAGGAGCGTCAGGGGTTCTGAGATAACAAGGTGTAGAGCTGGATGAACACAGCAGGCCAAGCAGCATCAGAGGAGCAGGAAAGTTGACGTTTCGGGCCTAGACCCTTCTTCAGAAATGGGGGAGGGGAAGGGGGTTCTGAAATAAATAGGGAGAGAGGGGGAGGCGGATAGAAGATGGATAGAGGAGAAGATAGGTGGAGAGGAGACAGACAGGTCAAGGAGGCAGGGATGGAGCCAGTAGAGGTGAGTGTAGGTGGGGAGATAGGGAGGAGATAGGTCAGTCCAGGGAGGATGGACAGGTCAAGGGGGTGGGATGAGGTTAGTAGGTAGGAGATGGGGGTGGGGCTTGGGGTGGGAGGAGGGGATAGGTGGGAGGAAGGACAGGTTAGGGATGCAGAGACGAGCTGGGCTGGTTTTGGGATGCAGTAGGGGGAGGGGAGATTTTGAAGCTTGTGAAATCCACATTGATACCATTGGGCTGCAGGGTTCCCAAGCGGAATATGAGTTGCTGTTCCTGCAACCTTCGGGTAACATCATTGTGGCACTGCAGGAGGCCCAGGATGGACATGTCGTCTGAGGAATGGGAGGGGGCGTTGAAATGGTTCGTGACTGGGAGGTGCAGTTGTTTTGTGCGAACCGAGCGTAGGTGTTCTGCAGAGCTATCTTCCACCTATCTTCTCCTCTATCCATCTTCTATCCGCATCCCCCTCTCTCCCTATTTATTTCAGAACCCCGTTCCCCTCCCCCATTCCTGAAGAATGGCCTAGGCCCAAAACGTCAGCCTTCCTGCTCCTCTGATGCTGCTTGATCTGCTGTGTTCATCCAGCTCTACACCTTGTTATCTCAGATTCTCCAGCATCTGCAGTTCCCGCTATCCCCATCCGGGGTTCTGTTCACTCTAGGTGACAGCTTGGTGCTAGCTATGTAAGTGTCATGTACTAGGCATGTGCAAATAAATGTTGACTTAATGATGGGAAACTGGCCTTTGTGGAGTTATTTTACTATGTTCATATGAATCTTACTGTTTCAATAAGGGTGCCTCTTATTCTACTGAACCCCAATGAGTGCAGACCCAATCTACTCAAGCTCTTCTCACAAGACAATCCTTCCATACTTGGAATCAGCCTAGTGAAGTTTTTCTGGGCTGCCTCCAATGCTTTAAATGGTTAATCTGTCATTCGAGATTCTCCAGCCTGGAAGAAGAGCCTTTCATTTTTATTTTTTTATAATTTTTTTCTCTTTAAGTCACCTTCATCTACATGTGCACAGTACATTGGCTGTGACCAGCCCAGCTCAGAGTCAGTCCCTGATCTGAGGAGATTCTGAATCCCTTGCCTTTTTTTTTCTTACAGAGATAGGGAGGTGAAATAACGACACAGAGTAGAAGAGCCTTTCATAAATACTACTAAACACAAAATAGTGAAGTTGCAGATGCAGCAAGTGATTAGGAAAGCAAATGGAATGTTGTTGTTTATTGCAAGGAGAACGCTAATAAAATAAGGAATCCTTACTACAGCTGTACAGGACCTTGCTGAGGTCTGGAAAAGTGGTTACAATTTTGCTTATCTGAGAAAGGACATAATTGCCTTAGATCAAAGAAGGTCATTCGACACATTCCTAGGATTAAGGGATTATTCTAACAAAAACGATTGAACAGGTTTGGGCCTGTACTGACTGGAGTTTTGAAGAATGAGAAGTGATCTGTTTGAAACATAAAATTCTGAGGATATAGATTCTGAGGGAATGTTTCACCTTGTAGGAGTAGCTCAGTCTAGGGGCCCCATTTAAGAGTAATGGGTCTCACTTTTAAAGATGGAAAGACTCTTTTTTTCTCTCAGAGTGTCATTATTTTCCCCGGAAAGCAGTGAAGGTTGGATCATTGAATACATTCAAGGTTGAGTTGGACATATTTTTGATTGATAAGGACATCAAAGGTTAGAGGGGACAGACAGCAAAATGGAGTTGAGGCCACAACTAGATCAGCCATGATCTTATGGATCGGTGGAGCAGTCTTGAAGGGCCAAATGGCCTACACTTGCTTCTAAGTCCTGCGGTCCAATGTAACTACCCTAACAAGCCCTCCAAAAACCTTATACTTAATAATGAGTCTTTTTTAACAAACTCACCTCTTCTAAATGCTACGGATAAATGTCTAGGTTTTATAATACCTTCTCAAAAGATATTCCACATGCCAGGAAACAGTCTAATAAGCCATTGTTGCATTCCCTGAATGACATATATATTACATTTCACTGCCACTAATATTTCCTGGCTTTATGCAAACTGCAAACAAATAAACTAAATTTGAAGAAAAGGTGAAATGGAAAATCATAATGTCATGATATTTAGTCTGCCTGACACCACACATTTTAAACTCTAAAATTGTACAAGTAATTTCTTGTAGTATTTTTAATTCTAAAAGATCATATTTGTTTGAATATTTTGATGCCAGATGGTAAAGTTCATAGTGTGATAAATAATTCTTTCAGTTTGAAGTAATACTTCATGTGTAAAATTACAGTTTGAAATTTCATAGTGCGTCTTCCTGTGGTTTTATTTGGAGAAAAATAATTTACAATTATTAAGCCCCTATCTTCCTGTCACATACACCCTAGCTATACCACTGGGGATTTTGACATCTGGCTTGATCCATCATTTCTACAGTGCAGTCATGTCTGTGGTTGTACTTGGCACAAAACATAGCATTGTGGCAACATTGTAAACTGTGCAGAAAAAAACACAAAAAAGGCACAAATTAACTGCAAGTGTTTCTCTCATGCATGGAAAACAAAAGCATGCTGGCACAGTTTTCATCATGCTAACTGATCTACTGGGCATACCAATGATGTTTGAGATAATTAAATATTTTATTATTTTCTGCAAAACCAGTTCAAATCAAATTAGCATTCTGTCATTCATCTTTTCATTCGTGCATTGGGTAAATATTCTTCAGAAGTAAATCCTTACAAAGTTATTTTTTCTGGTAAATTATGACTCTCCTATGAAACGAGGATAAGTACTTGGAAGCAATTGACTCCGTTGATGAACCAAAAGGTTCACAAGCTATGAGTAAGTGATTAGAATGTTACTCGTTGTAGTTTGAGTTTATCTCCACATATCAAAAAATTTTCAAACTACTCACTCTTTGGAGACAAAAAATCTTTTTGATGATAGAAGAATCCTCATACAACCTTCCATTTACTGAATGCATATCAATGTTTCTTTTCATTAAAAAAGTAAGACAAAGCATTGTTACCATTATTGTATTCAATAAGTTCTTTACTGTTTAGAGAATGGGCCATAGATTATATACAAAAATCTTATGTAACAAAATGTTCAACTGTAGTCATGTTTAACATGCTACAAATCACTTTCTGCTGTGCATTTTCATAGATTTTCTGAATAGCATCTTGAAAATTCCAACTGGTCAATATCGTCATGCTATCTGCTTGCCCCCATCACATATTTTCAGGAAGGCACGTTAAGAAGATAATAGATAAGTTAGTACATCAACCAGAGTGTGTACCTCATGACATCTTCGACTCTGAATCCTTTCTTGCGTGCTAAATCCATCAGAAACGATCTTCTACTTGATCCCATTTTTCTTTCTACAATAAATATGGTCAGATCTTGAAATCTGACTTCGTGTTTACTTTGTGAACTGCAGACTTTTGTCGCTTTCTGCCTTTTCCTCTTTGGTATGATTCCCATTCCTCCCAGGCTTCCTGCTAAGCTCATTTTTTTTGGGATTGCTTTAATGTTAAGTTACACTATCTGCTGTCAACTGCCTCTGTCACCTGCACCTTCTCTGCACTTAGTTAAACGTCTTTCAGTGATGTCACCTCCCTTGATTTTCTAAACAAACTCTGCAAACCAATTAAAGAATGGGGTCACTGAGTTTCTGCACAAGCATCAGAGTTTATTGATTTTAACCCTTTGGGGATTCTTGCAGCATTACCTCATAAAAATACTCTTCTTCCATAACTTTTGAAAAATGATACATATAATTCCGTTTCATAACCTTGCAGAGCCAGGTATGTCAACAAAAATAGTACTCTTTTTCATCTTTTTTTCCTTTCTGTCTTGGAAAGGTGATTCATAGGATATGTTTTGATTATCTATGTGTATGTCTCCCACTATTTAGAAACATTAGATCAAGCATAAAGTTTGTTTTAATCTGAAAAAGAACACACTTGAATTGAGAATATAAAACAGAAATATTTTCTGTACCAGTGTTCCTTCCCTATTATCTCAATGACATTGAATTCTCTTGGAGGTTCACAATCCATTGCAGTCATGTAGCCATTCTTTAAGTGTGAGCTTTTAGGTAATACTGGGCTACTTGATTGGAAGCTCAATGGTAACACAACCCAATCATTATACACAGGTGACCTAACATGCATGCGTGCGCGCACACACACACACACACAGACACATCAAAAACCCTTTAAACTCAGGATTCTGAGAGCAATTTCAGCTGTAAGTTGTAGAATTTCTTTCTAAACTTCTCGGGCTCTCTATGGCTTCTCTAAGATGCTCCTTAAAACCCATCTCTTTGATTAAGTTTTTTTGTGAAGAGCCTTGAGATCTTTATGTCAATGCAGGTTATTGTTCTTATTGTTTAATATTGCTACAATGACTTAGAATTAGTGAACTCAGCATTAATGATCAAAGCTATCGCTCTAGAAAGCATTTCTCTAATACTTCATCACTTATAATCATTAATCTCTAACAATTCATTCTTAATACTAAAACATTACAAGGATAATTTTGAGAGAATTGTTTTATATATATCTTCACACAGAATAGTAAAGCTTGAAATTTCCTTGTGTAGCGCCACTTGTAGCAATATTTTGGAGAAAATCCTGCTGTGTAGAGTATACACTTGTTTTTTGTGCTGTGTGCATTGCTATCTGCTCTCAGCATGGCCTGAACAGCTTTTCTGGAGGACAAGGGACACATGTATGGATATCTCTAGGAGGAAGCTCGGGGAATACAGTAATGCAGGCACCACTACCATCAACCACTTCACCCCGCCAAACTGCCACCTTCAGGTTTCCAGGTTTGCCTGATGTGAGGCATGACCTCCGTTGCAACAGACAGAGCAAGCTAGAACATAGAACATAGAACATTACAGCGCAGTACAGGCCCTTCGGCCCTCGATGTTGCGCCAACCTGTGAAACCAATCTGAAGCCCATCTAACCTACACTATTCCATTATCATCCATATGTTTATCCAATGACCATTTAAATGCCCTTAAAGTTGGCGAGTCTACTACTTTTGCAGGCAGGGCATTCCACGCCCTTACTACTCTCTGAGTAAAGAACCTACCTCTGACATCTGTCCTATATCTATCACCCCTCAATTTAAAGCTATGTCCCATCGTGCTAGCCATCACCATCCGAGGAAAAAGGCTCCCACTGTCCACCCTATCTAATCCTCTGAATGTCACTGAATGTGTGGTTGTGATAGCTGAAATGATGGAGACGTGCACCAAAACGTGGCTGTGACCAACACTCCCTGTAGATTGTGTGCTTTCACAGCCGTGCACCAGGAAAACGAATCCATGCACAGTCCATGATTGTCCACACACCAGATGGTCGCATCCAAACGGCCAATGAAGGAATCCTTCCCAGAACATCATAAAGCACCTTCCAGACAGCTGCATACAGATGGCCCATGAATCCCAGGATCCACCAGATGCCAGAACAAAGCGCAGGATTTCGGAATTCAGTCCTCAGCCACACAACTGCTTCCAGCTCCAGAAAAATTTCATAAACATCATTGAAGCAGCTCCAGAAAGGAAAAAGTGCCAGGTCATATTACTGGAGGATCCTAGGGAGTTTACAGTTGTCTCAGCAGTGACCTGGAGGATCAGACATGAGATCCAGGAAGCAGGCAGCCACTCCAGAAGGAAGTAACATTTGACTCAAATGGCAGCTTACATTTCTCTTCCAAAATTTAAATTTTGTTTTCTTGATAAGTTTAAAATGGTTCCAAAAGAAAAGCAAACGAATCTTCAAAAAAGAAATCCTATGCATATTTTGAAAGGGAATGGCTTTCAGAAGTCTTCAAAACAGAAATGCCATCTTCAACACAAACAGAATGAATGAACTGGTGAGATATTCATTTATCTTGAAGTGGATGATCGTGATGTGATGAAACTTCTCACTGATAATGTCATACTTGTCGGAAAGACGAATGGGTCCATGCTTTCCATGCAAGACATTGATGAACACGTGGTGAAATGCACAGCAATTACTGAGAGCTGGCACAGCAAGAATTATGCCTTAGAATTTTCAGAGTGTATCGTCTTCGTCATACAGAGACAGTTCTTGGATGAATTATGCAAATCACCATTTCATGACTTGATAGTGGATGAAAGTATGGAGATTTCAGTAAAACAAGGGTTGATTTTGAACAACAAATTTTGTCCAGAATCTAAACTTGCTTAAAAGACTACCTTTGCAGGAATTTTGGAACTGACTGATTGCAATATTGCCTCCATTGTGACAGCGATCAAGTAATTTTATGTTAACAATGAAGTTGATTTACAGAAGATGGTAGTATTTACCTCAAAGTCTCTTTTATGCTGGGAAAGAAACATGGAGTAGCTGCAATCTTGCAGCAAGAAATCAAACATTAGTCGGAACAGCATTGTGTTGTTCATAGAGAAAATCTGGGAATGGATGATGCTTGTACACAGGTGTCAATTATGTAAGATATTGAAATGGGACTAAGAACAATGTATGTTCAGCAGGACAGCTGTGAAGAAAGGATAATTTGAAGAGTTTCCCAAAGTCACAGCATATGATGCGGTGGCAGTTCAACCTCTGAATGAAGTGAGAGGGCTGTCAAGACAGTTTGCAGTGTGTGCACTAATGTGAAGCTACAATGCCTTGATCGAGTACTGCAGAGAACAAGTGAATAAGTGCAATGATCCAAAAAACAAATATTGTCTGCAAATGCTCACAAAGTCACAATATCACGTTGCATTGACAGCTCTGAATTATGTTCTTAGTTAACCGGCATCTCTTGTGCAAATTCTTGCAGAGAAGCTGTTTAACAACAACTGGAGTTATGCAATTTGCACAGGCCAAAATAAATAAACTGAAGATTTAGTATCTAGGTGAATGAGTTTATTGGAGTGATGAAGTTAAGAGGACTATGGCTGCTCATGACAGTGATGTGGACACAGTTGCAATCCTTCAGGTTATTCAATAGCGATGTGACCATGTGGAAAACAGACTTCTAGAGGAGGAATTACAAGAGTGGCAAGCATTTCATTAAGGCTACAATCGCCAGGACAGTTGATTATGAATTCGGAAAAGACAGTGCTGTGTGATTGATATTGAAATATTCTACTTTTATGCTGATCAACGGTGAAAATGCAGCCACAAAGATATGTGAGGAATATTCTGATTTTAAATTTATGGTTGTTGATAAAGTCTCAAATGGTTCCATTCAGACATTCAGTGATTTGGTGATTATGCTCTAAAAAATGACCTGTCTCAAGAAGTGTCCATTCATCTAGACATTTGTGTAACATTTCAAGCATCAAGTGGGTATGGATTTAGCCTCATGACCTTGATTAAATGTAAATTCAAAAAGAGATTAGAAATAGATCACGTGCACAGTTTGATGTGTCTATTACGTTGTATATTTCATCTGGACAAAATATCAAAATTGCCGTCAACATCAGGACAAAGAACTGTGGATACCAGATATCTGAAACAAACAAAAGTATAGTTTACTGGAGAAACTCAGCGGGTCTGGCAGCAGCAGTGGAGAGAAAACAGGTAACATTTCAAGTCCGAGATAGTAAGAACTGCAGATGCTGGAGAATCCGAGACAACAAGGTGCAGAGCTGGATGAACACAGCAGGCCAAGCAGCATCAGAG